GTGAACTCTCTCCCTTGCCCGACTCATGCATCATGCCTGCTCTCCCACGCTCCCCCTCTCCCCGGGCACCACCGGATCCCGGTGGCCGGCAGGCAGCAGCCCTGATGATCGCCACCGTGATTGCTCTTCCTGGTGTCTCCGGGCCCGTCAGCCTCGGGCCTCGGTCTGTGCCGGCCCCCGGAGAGGGGGCAAGACCTTCGGCGACGTGTCACCGCGCGCACCCGCACGCGCGACGAGATGATGGCCAGCTGCCCCCTGCCTGTTGGATCTTGACGCGGCTCGATGCTATCGGCCGGATAAAACCCCCACGTGACGGCACCACGCCAAGGTCAGCCCGATTGACCAGGCACCGCGCGCGTATGCAGTCCCCCCACCCCCGGTCTCGCTCCTTGGCCTTGGCTGGCTCTCGCCTCTGCCATGTGCCCACCATGCGCCGGTACGGCGGGCCGACGCGTCGGGGGTCGCCCGTCTCGTGTCCTGTCTCTGCCCCTCGTCGCAGGGCGTGCACACGCTGGGGCCTCTCTTGCTCGCCAATCCCTTCGCATACTTTCTTCTTTTTTTTCTTTTGCCTCCTCTTCTTCTCCTTGTCTCTCTTTCTCTCTCTCTCCCTCTCCTTCTCAGGCACGCATGCGACCGGGGTGTTGGACCTGCGGGATCAGCAATCGGATGACTTGTGAAGACGATCCCACTTGAACGCAAGCAGCCCCCCCCCCCCCCGGAGAGGGCCATCTCCCTTTTAATAATTGAACTCCGTCGCTTCTTGGGTCATTGTCACGGATGGCGGCGGCGGCGATGACACGCGCCACGCCCCTGCGTTCACACCTGCCCGTATGATTGCACGCATGTGCACTTGCGCACCCATCCCCGACCATTCACCTGCAGACCTGCGTGCAGCCTTGCACGCTTGCATGCTTGCACGTCTGCACGCACACTTACCCCATGACCACGCACACAAACAAAAGTGCTTCCCCGTCTCCTACCCAGGCAAGCAAGCCATAACCATAACCACCTTGCCCCATAACCCCACACCCTACCGCGGTCCAGCGCGAATCAAGGCCCTAAAGAGGCATTGCTGTACATAAGACAAATGGAATGCCTGAGAAACAACGCCACATGCACACGCACACACACACACACACACACACACACACACACACACACAGCCTGCCCCCTCCACATGTGTCCATGCATCCGCCCGCGCCCGGGGGGGAGAATGTCCCGTTAGCACACTGATATCTCCACAAAATGTGCCACTTGTGTGCCCCTGCAACGCCCAGTGCCCCTCCTTCCCCCTCTCTCCTCCCGCCCAGACACAGCATGCAAGACCACACAACCACAACCATAAAGCTGTTTATCTCTACTCAAAGCAAATATAGGGCCGGGCATCGTAGACAGGATTTATCGTCAAGTCATCGGCAGAAGCACATAATTCGAGGACGGATGCGCCGGGATGTGCCATCATCGCCTGCTCCACTTGAAAGGCCCGTGCGGCCGCGTGTCGCATGAAGTCCGGGGCCATAAACCGGACGCCCTGTCGAGCAGCGTGCAGTCGCAGCGAATTCACCACCTGCGGCAGGGCGCAGCCCAGGTCCGCCGCCACCTGGTGCAGCACCGGCCGCGGGTATTTCCCCTCCACCGCCGCCAGCAGGTCGGCCAGCTTCCCCTCCGGCACGTACATCCCCCCCGGCCCGGACCCGGCCCCCGGGCCCAGCGCCAGGAAGAAGTACTCCGGCGCATACCGGTACAGCATGCCGAACAGCACATCCGGCTGCTGGCCCAGATGGACGGCCAGCTCCCGCACCGTGAAGCGCATCCGCCGGCCGGACGGGTGCACCTGCTTCGCCAGCCGCCGCAGCCGCCGGATGTCCTCATCCGCCAGGGCGTACTTCCGGAATGACGGACGCGAATCCCAAAAGCCCTCGGGCCATCCGAAGGAAGACACCATCTGCTTGAAAGTTCCAGTCGAGGATATGCCCAAGTATTCACCTATTTCCACCTCTGCCAGCATGGGCCGCAGTCCAGCCAGACCCCGCATCTCGGCTTCCAGGTTCTGACTCAGCCCCGGCGCCAACAGCTGCACATTCGTCCCCGGGCCGGACCCATGCGCCCGGGGGTCGAAGTATGCGAGCTGACGATGCGCCGATACCCGGACCAGCGCATGGGTCCCTTCGCCCGCCGGCGACCCTTCGCCCGGGGGGGCCTGGTGCACCGGCGAAGTGGCCGGCAGGAAGCGCCGCGTGTACTCGCCCAGCGTCAGCCGGCCCAAACCCTCCGGCCGGGCAAGTTGCCGCACGGGCTGCCCGTCGGAATAGGGTAGCACCACCCCCGGCTCGTAGTACCTGATGTACCAGCGGAGTTGAGCGGCCGACATCGCCAACTGCCTGCCCATGTCCCGGAGACTGTGCCGACGTTCTTGCAACAGCTCTCGCATGCGGGCCACCTTCTCCGCCGGCATCGGCCCCCGCAGATGGATCATGTACTCCGGGCATAGGTCCGGTCCGTGCCGGATGATCGACGTTTTAACCACACCTGACGATTTGCGGATCATCACCAGTGAGGGCACCGGCGACTGTTGTAGCCCTGCCACCAATGCCTCTCGCAGGGCTTCCATCTTTGCGCCTGGCAAATGCGACACCACCACATCTCCATGCTCCGGGAAGTGCCTGTCGATGGCCTTCGACAAGGATACCGAGCCGGTCGAAAGGAGCAACGCCATTGTCACTCTTGACAGGGGAGGATCCACGGTCAGCAGGTGCCCCAGCCGGCCGAGGCA